CACAGTTTACATTGACAGACAAAGAGTACCCCTAGCAGTTGATCAGACAAGAGTCTGAAGATGGGTAGGGGGCAAGCTGGCTGGAAGAGTGTTGCGTCAAGCGAGATCGTTCCATAGACCCAGTGGGCGGCTTGACAAGTGAATGTTTGGGCTTGAGATGCTGCAATGCTGAACCCTAAGCCATAGTCCTAAATCCAAAGCCCAACCGGGAATCTCGTTGGGGTCCCAGATTTTGACCATGTGGGCTTATTTTTGGGGTCCGCGCTTTGCGGCTTAAACTTCGGGGTCGAGGTTTAGGGATTCAGGGTTAGAGGGCTTGTTTGCGTTTGGGGCTTGAGGGTTTAGAGTTTAGGGCTTTAGAGTTTTGGGTTTGGGGCTTCAGGCTACTTGAGGGCTTTTGAGTTTAGGGCTTAGGGTTTTAGGGTTCGGAGGATCGGGTTTTGGGCTTTCGGATGTCCCAGCTTTTGGCTGCCATGGTTGTGTATGACGGCGTCCTCATGCTGAACTGACTATACCCCCTTTAGAGCCTCAAAAAAAAAAAGTTTGCAATAGTCCCTTGGGTTTTACATAGCTAAAAGCAAAAAAACTCCTAAGGGGGCTATGACTGAGGCTCCAAACCATGGAAGAAGCCATTCCGCAGGATTCCTGTCAGCGCTTGTTTCCAGAACCCTCGCGCGAGTTGCCCAAGGAATCTTTGCGTTCATGTCGTAGATTCCTAATTAACCCGAAGGGAATATCTATCTAGATGTAGAGACCCAGTAGATATTCATCTTTGTTGCATAGTGCTGCATAATGCAGATATACACATATACATACATACATGCATACATACATACATACATACGTAGTGTCGAGCTTTGGGCTGAAGGGCTCGGGTTTATGAAGGCACTGCCAACATGCAAACGAGCATGTAGATGCTGGGTAAATGACAACGAGGCCAACTTCGACACATCGGGAGATATACTCTGGGGAATGCAGTTCCTAAACTCTAAATCCTAAACCCTAAACCCTAAACCCCTAAACCCTAAACTCCCTAACAACGAGGCCGGCTGCGTCACATCGGAAGATATTCTCTGTGGAATGCAATTCCCCATTGTGGACGGACGCCGATTGTTTAGGGTTTAGGGTTTAGGGGATAGAGCGACTACAAGCAACCGCCCGAAGTTTTTTGAGTCTTCCCAAGCCCCAAAGGCACGACATGGCTCGGGTTGAAGTGAGTGAAGTGCGAGGAGGCTACAGTTTCAGGTTCAGGCTCTAGGTTCTGGTGTTTTGGGTCTCCAGTATATTCGCAGCAGCCGGTCAGGATCACGGCAAGCCACAGAGCCTCTGGCCATAGACTAACGGAGGAACCACCGAAAAAAAAGTACAGCCATATTTCCGGGTAGTATGAACCTAAACCCTAAACCCTAAACCCTAAACCCTAAACCATAGGCCGCCCGCGCCAGGCGGCGGCCGGTACAACTGAACGCTACCGCTTCGAGATCAGCTTGCTTTGCCAAGCAGATCGAGCTTGCCACACCTGATGCATCCCTGCTAGCCATAGGGCACAATGTAATAATGGATTAACCCTAAACCCCCGACGCGCGACCCCGGTGGGGGAGGTCGGGCCTAAGAAGCTGTTGCGCCCCCCGCAGGGTTGCCCCCGCCAGGGTTGCCCGCCAGGGTTGCCCCCACGGAGTTGCCCCCGCCAGGGTTCCCGTCAGGGTTGCCCCGCCAGGGTTGCCCCGCCAGGGTTGCCCCGCCAGGGTTGTCTTTCGCCAGGGTTGGTCCCGGAGGCCCCCGCCAGGGTTGCCCGCCAGGGTTGCCCCCACCAGGGTTGGGGTTGCAATCGCGCGGGTTGCACCCGCCAGGGCCCGCCAGGGTTGCCCCTCCCCGCCAGGGTTGCCCCGCCAGGGTTCCCCCCACCAAGGGTTGCCAGGGTTGCCCCCGCCAGGGTTGCCCACAGGGTTGCCCCCGCCAGGGTTGCCCCCCGCCACAGTTGCCCCCGCCCCCCGCCAGGGTTGTTCGCCAGGGTTGCCCCCGCCAGGGTTGGGTTCCAGGGGTTGCCCCGTGAGGGTTGGCCTTTCCCCCCCCGTGAGGGTTGCCCGCCAGGGTTGCCCCCGCCAGGGTTCCCCCACCAGGGTTGCCCCCACCAGGGTTGTTGCCCCCGCCAGGGTTGCCCCCACCAGGGTTGCCCTCGCAGGTTGCCCCGTAGCATTAAGAATCGAGGGCCAGGGTTGCCCCCACCAGGGTTGCCCCCGCCAGGGTTGCCCCCGACAGGGTTGCCCCCGCCAGCCTACTAGGTTGCCCCCTCACATGGAATTGTGCACCTATGCTTCGTCGTCCTTCTCTATGAAGGCCTTGCCAAAGTTCTTCATTAGTGGCCCCTTCCAGGGCCCCACCAGGGTTGCCCCCTGCTAGCACGTCCGCTCCTTTGACTCTGACAGATACACGTTTATACCGTTGCCGCCAGGGTTGCCTGCCCCGTCAGGGTTGCCCCCGCCAGGGTTGCCCCCCCATGCCAGGATTGTCTGTGAGGTTTGCCCCACCAGCAGGGTTGTTCCCGCCAGGGTTGCCAGCCCTGCCCGCCAGGTGCCCCCGCCAGGGTCGGCCCCCCTCCAGGTTGCCCCAGGGTTTGCCCCCGCCAGGGTTGCCCCCATCAGGGTTGCCGCCGAGTTAGGGTTGCCCCCACACAGGCCACGGCCGGTACAACTGAACGCTATCGCTTCGAGATTGGTTGCTTTGTTAAGCAGATCGAGCCCCGCCAGGGTTGCCCCCGCCAGGGTTGCCCCCACCAGGGTTGCCCCCGCCAATTTTGCCCTCCAAAGTTCTCCATTTGTGGCCTTTCCAGGGCCCTGCCCGTGCCAGGGTTGCCCCCACAAGGGGTTGCCCCCGCCAGGGCTGCCCTTAGGTTGCCCTTCCTATTGCCAGCGTTGCCCTTCGTCAGGGTTGCCCCCCGCCAGGGTTGCCCCTACCGGGGGAGGCCGGGCCCAAGACGCGCGACCCCAGCATAGGAGGTCCTGTCAAAAAAGACCAGCTGAAAAAAGACCAGGCTGGGCCAGAGAAGCCGGGTGGCGGGGCCTTCCGCGCTTGGCCCTCGCCATTCTGCCATATGAATGAGCTTGGGTCCGGAATTGGGCTTGAGGGTGTCTTAAACACAGTATGGGTGAAACAGATGGTCCCGCTCCCTGTTGATCCAGCAAAGTGTAGGCTCAAGCAGCAGCAGTCAACACGTCCCATTCCGGCCATTGGGAAGACGCGAGCTGTAAGCCCCCTTGATAGGGGGGCCGTGGGGGGTAGACCGCTCTAAACCCGAAAAAGGCGGTAGTTTGGGTGGCTGGGGTGGGATCCGCTGCACCGAGGCTGCTCGACCCGCCGCCACTCCCTGGCGCGGGTCGGGACCGCGGCACTTTGGAACACCCTAAACCCTAAACCCTAAACCCTAAACCCAGAAGATGCCGTGCGCGCGTCCTTCAAGGTCCCCGGTTCCGGCCAAACCCAGGAGTCCGATCCTTGAAAGGTTTCGGGTGCGGTTTAGCGTTTAGGGTTTAGTGTTTAGGGTTTGGGGTTTGGGGGTTTAGGGTTTTAGGGTTAGGGTTTAGGGTTTAGGGTTTTGAGGGTTAGGGTTTAGGGTTTTGAGAGTTAGGGTTTAGGGTTTAGGGTTTTGAGGGTTTACGGGTTTAGAGGATTAGGGAGTTTAGGAGGTTTAGGGGGTTTTGGGGGTTTAGGGGTTTAATTCAGGGGGTTTAGGGTTTACGAGCTGTGGATTTTGGGGTTTATGAGTTAGGGCCCTACAGTTTGCACAAGGCCATCTGAAAAATGAAGGGGTCATTCTACTGTAAAGAAAATCAACTGGAACCGGCCACTTTTGGCCGAATCTTGGGGTGCCCCCCCCTTAAACCCTAAACCCTAAACCCTAAACCCTGAACCCTAAACCCTGAACCCTAAACCCCAAGCCCGAAACCCGAAGCCCTTGGAGGATGAGCTCCCGGCACGGCCGACCAGGCGGCTAACTGCACGTTCCGGACCTTTGGGTCACAAGTCTAAACCCTAAACCCTAAACCCTAAACCCTAAACCCTAAACCCCAACAGGGCTTCTAGCGTGTTCAGGGGGTTTTTGGGTTTTGGGAGGTTTAAGGGTTTAGGGGGGTTTAAGGGTTGAGGGGTTTGGCTTTTTCGGTTTTTTGAGGGAGGTTGTAGAGGTTTGCTTGAGGGGCTTCGGGGTTCGGGGGTTTAACGTTTTTAGGGGTTGAGGTGTAGGGTTTCGGGTTTGGGGAGGTTGGGATTGTAAAGCCCCTTTGTCGGATGCTTCCATAACCCCGCAAAGGACGGGTGCTGGCATTTTTTGGGCGACTAAGCTGCTATGCCCTCGTTTTTAGCCCAAGCCAGTCGCATTCTACTTGTTCAGATTGGAAGCTGCCATCGGGGATATTCTAAAGTCCGGAAACAATCAAACCCTAAACGGCCTTAAAAAAAAAATCAAATCCTGCTTCTTGGGCCCTCTTGAACATGGACCTCTCAGCAACTTATAACCGGTTTAGGGTTTAGGGTTTAGGGTTTAGGTTTTAGGGTTTAGGGTTTACGGTCCTCAAGGGAAGGGGGTTTCATGGGGGGTAGGTACCTAGGGAACTTTAGGGAAGCGAAGGGAGCCTCAGGAAGTAGTGGGGAGGATTAGGGAACTTTGAGTACATACCCCTAAACCCTAAATCCTAAACCCTAAATCCTAAACCCTTGAACCCCCTTTCTTAAGAAGCCTCTACATAGGGCTTAATTAGGGCTGGCGGCTTCTCCAGACAACCCCCATGATCCCGGCCGCCAATTGAGCCGTAGGTTGCTGGGGTTTAGGCTTAGGGTTTAAGCCCTAAGCCCTAAGCCCTAAGCCCTAAGCCCTAAGCCCTAAGCCCTAAACCCTAAATTTAGAACTAAGAAGGCCCACCGGGCTGGTCTCGTGGCCACACTCCGTTTTCCGCATCGGAGCCGAACTCATGTGCCTCCGGAACAAAAGGTTTGAATCGTTGGGATCAACCGAAGCTTACTTCCACAGCTTTACACTGCTTCGGAAGATCCTCTCTGAAAGTCAACTTGATTCCCTCTCGGAGTTGTGCCCACCATTGACCGCTCTTCAGCGGTTTGGTGAGCAAATCTGCCATCTGACTCCCGGTGGGTATCCAGGCAAGCCTCCCAAAGCATTCTAAATCGTCACGGATAGCAGCCAAATCGATAGCGAGCCGCTTGCAGCTGGGTACCCGAGGGACTCCCTCCCTTGTGAGGTGATCGAACAAGCTTCTACAGTCAGAGAGAAAGCGGGCTTTGAACCTGGTCGTTCCTTTCCTGTACAAACTGCCCCTTAGGAGACTTTCGAGGAACTTCAGGATATACTCCCCCGTCTCAATGGCGGATGCGCAGGCCATCGTCTCCGCCGCGAAAGTTGATCGGCAAACTCTATCGCAGGCCCCACTCTTCCAGTCGAGGATGCTGCCTGCCTCACGCGAGCCGCTGAGGATCTCTTCGTTGGCCAGCACGAAGAGGCTTCCAATTTGGGAAGCGATCGATGAGTTCGCCCTCTTAGCCTTCCTCTCTCGGATCGCATAGGGGCCCTCTTGGATCAGTCCTTGCTTCTCCTCTTCGAACGTCAGGGAGTAGTACGGGTCCTCCTGGCTCTGGGGACAGTTGGCCCAACCAGCGTCGTGGTAGCAGAGTAGTACTGCTTTCTCCAGATCGATGCTCCTGAAGACCACGCCTTGATCTTGATGTTCAAGAGCTCTCTTGACCAGGAGGTTCGTGAACTTGAGGTCGCCGACGGTGGGTTGTCGTTGACATTGCTGACTCAACGACACTCCTACTTGAAGGTCCGGGCGAGATTGACTCGCCAGCCACGACAACGCTCCGATCAAGGACATATTGTCGTGTCGCTGTTCTTCATCGGCACTCTCCCAGTCCACTTGCCCCGGCTTAATATCCAGAGTGAAGAGACGAGTGTTGACATAGCTGGACTGCGACAACGTCACCTGGTCCTCGCCGATCTCGATGAAGGATCCCACGTAGTCGAAGCTCCCGGTCTCCCACTCGTGGATGGGAAACACTGAACTGAGCTCCTGCTTTATCAACTGACAGAGTCTGTCTTCACCGACAAGAAGAATATCATCTACGTGGACTCCCAGGTAGGCTTCGGGAGGTCCAAGGATCGGGGTGCCGTCTTCTCCCTCTCCATTGATCGCCTGGACCATGAAGATGCAATGATCCAAAGAGCACTGCGTCACTCTCCATCTCTTCTTATTCTCGTCCTCGATCTCGAGTTCCTTGAGAGTCTTCTTCAACTTCTTCCACCAAGAGGACGGGCTGTCAACGAGGCCAAAGATCCCCTTCCGGATACGTAGGAGTTGTTCCGGATGGAGGTCGCCCAAGCCGGAACGGGGCTGACGGAGGTATAACTCCCTTTCCAGTTCTTCTCCTGAAAGGAAAGCTGCTGTCACGTCTCCTGCGTGACCGGTCCATCCCTTCTTCAGATTCGAGGCGAGGATCTGGAGGAGAAGGTGTATTCCTTGTCTCGAGATCGTTGGAGCGTGTGTGGAAAGTCCTGAAAGGAGGTCTGGATCACGGTGTCCACTGATCACTAACCGCGACTTCGGTTTCCATTCCGTTCCCGGATCTTTGCGCCGCTTGCTCCAATTCTTGTCACGGTACGCAAACCGGCTATCCAGGACCCTCTCCCCTTTCTTGGCACTGACTTCCCTACTGGTCTCCACGTCCAGGGGCTCCAGGGCTCTATATTGCAAATGTTCGTCGTACTGTTTTCGTTCTGCCTGGCGAAATTGATCTCGTTGTTCTTCGGGAACCAAAGACCAGGGGATCTCCTTCTCGAGGGCTTTTTCACGGCTGCGCCTAGTAGGGGCTCTCTTTGCCATGTGCACGTGGTTCATCCTCGTCGCCTCGTCCTCGGGGATGGCTCTTTCTTGCTGCTCACTGTTTCCAGGGCCTGGAGCAGGCCCCTTAGTCCGAACTCTCTTCCGCACTGGTTGATGTCCTTCTGGGGGATGTTCTCTAGGTTCCTTAGGGCCTCGTTCGGGATCTCCACTTTGTAGTAGTTCGGGGTCGCCTTCTGCTTCGCCTGGTGTTCCGACAAAGAGGTCCTCATCTTTGAAATCCGCTTCTAAGAGACGCGCCAAATCCTCTTTGGTTGTCCTGAGAATGAATCCTTGTCCGATCTCTTCCCCAGTAGCCAGTCGGATGTGCTCAGGTGCTACGAGATGACACCTCCCTCCGAAGGAGGTCCAGTAGTTTGGACCTTCTCTCCCGATGATCACAGCCGGGCCGTACCAGTACCAAGTCTTCTGATTCTTGGGCTTCCGGTACATGTAAACGTGGTCCCCCACTTGGAGTTCTGGCCCTGCTACTCTGCTTCGTTGTAGAAGGGCTCTTCGGAATTTGGCGTCACGATGGCACTTGAAGTACGCCTCTTTCGCAGCACTCCTGATGCTCATCTCCTTAGCTCGTCTCCTGTCTTTAGAAAGGACATGGTCGAGATGTTCACCATGAGGACCGTTGAGAACTTCCTCAGGCACGACTGGATCTCTGCCCCACACTGCTTGCGAAGGACTGAACCCGGAATCCCTCTTCAAGGTGTTCAGGGCTGTGTTCACCGAGGTGATGGCCATGGGTACGTCTTCCTCAATCACGGCGTGCTCGTCGACGATCTTCGCCCAAACTTCCTTCCACAATCTGATGTGTCTCTCTACTGCTCCTTGCTGGTAGTGGGCCTGTGCTGCTATTGGTCGTAGTTTGGTCCCGTGCCACTCACTGAACCTCGCCAAGCCAGCTTGAAGGCCGGACTCCAGGTCCAGGGCTAGGACCGACGGGGGTCCGAATACCTGACACCACATCTCGTTGAAGGTCGCCTCCATGGCCTCGCTCGAATGACCTTGGAGGGATGATGCTAAGCCAAAGCCCGTCCCCAAGTCCAGAGCCATCATGAACTCATACCTCGTCCCTGTACTGTCGTAGGAAGAGAAGGCGTCCAGGGCCACAACTTGATTGAACTCCAGCAGTGTGGGAAAACTGGCCGGCTTAGCAGACAGTCCCCTCTTGTTGCGCTCGCATACCTGGCAGGACATCCTCTTCACGGCTTGTATCACCTCGGGGCCGGCACCAGCCATTCTCAGGTGTCTGGCTAAGTCATCTCGATCTGGGTGCCCCAAGTTTTGGTGCAGCCTTCTTAGGGCTGTCTTGACCTCACTCGATATGTTCTTTTCGTCGCGGAAACTGATGGCGCTCGCTCCACGGAGTCCTTCTTCAACGCCAGTCGTGTTTTCCTTCCCGGCTTCGACAACGTAGGCGTTCTCCACCTTGTCTTTAAGGTAGGCTTCCATCTTCTCTTTCACCGCCTCGTCGGAGCACTTGAAGATGTCGTTGTCTTCTCGGTTCACTGACAAGGTCCGCCTTCCATCCCTAACCTCGTCTTTCACCATGTCCCCGAGATCCGCGACCTCCAGCACCCACTCTTCATTCCAGATGTTATCGTTCTGCTCAGCCTCGACCACGACACCTCTGCCACGGAGTGTTTGGCACCTCGCCAGTTCCCCAACTGAGGACGGGCAAACGTCGTCGCCCACCCCATGGATCCACAGGGTAGCTGGCTGCAACTCCTTCCACATGTCTGTAGGGTGATTTTCTTTGGCAGAGACGTCCTCATACGTGAGGGGTTCCGTAGTGAGGAAGTCGTGCGTCCCCAGCTCGATGGTTTTCTCCCAGCCCCCAAGTTCCATCAGGGCCACGCTGTTGACTCCACGCGGCGCAGCCAGGATCTCGGTCGTACATAACGAAGCAGCCATCGTACACCACGTAGTCAAAGATGCCAAGCGCTTAGCCCTCTGCCAAAGCAATTTTCGAGTGCTTTTCCTTGGTCTCTCAGTTGGTCCAGAGATGGAATCCGATCTCTCCTGCGCAGGTAGGCCACGTAGAGGAAAACGTAGGTCACGAAGATGTTCTCTCAGCTCCTCTGTGATCTGTGGGTATCCTCTCGAGCAAAAGAGCGATAGACACCATCTCTCACCATCCCAGTCCTCTGTGGCGTGGTAGTTCCGGGGGTCGAAGGAAGTGGGGTTCTCTTTGGTGGAGAGCAGTACTCCTGGAAGCCGAGCCGACCCATCCCCCGTAGGATCCCTCTTCCACACGACCTCTGCCTCTTCGGAGTCCTTGAGCTCAGGTTGATGCACCCAAAGTTCACCGCCAGAGAAGTTCCCGAGTGAGATGGTGATGGTCTCGCGTCCGGGAATGTTGTGTACATCCTTGTGCACAGACGTCTGAACCCCCTTTAACAAGGCGAAAGATGTCCATGAACCATTGACCTTGCTCTTCATGCAGGCGTTGATAAAACGGGTGGTCCACGGGAGGTCCATGCTGCGCTTCGTGATCCCGTACTTGGAGCCGTGCGAGTAGAGCCCTCCAACCAGGCTATGGGCCACCGCGCCTCGTCCTCCTTCAATGTCTCGATGCCTCCGGGTGCCTTTCATAGGGATCTTTCGAAGCACTTCCAACAGATCTCCGTACTCGAAGCTCTTGCTCTGGAGCTTGGCCTTCGCAACTTCTTCGCACTTTGCAATGACCTCCTTCTCCGTGATCGTGTCCTTAGAGGTCTTGAGGGGGCCGTAGTGATCTCCGACAAGGCACTCACGGGTGAAGTCGTCATCCTCACCGATGTCGTAGTCCTTGATCTTCTCCTGTGTGTTCGGGGAAGTTTTGTTCTCGGCAGGGCCAGGGACCTCCCCATCCCCCTCCAGGCATTCCTGGAAGGCCCCGCCTTCCTCGCTCCTTTCTACTGAGGACCCCTGTGGAGCCCGCGCTGGCTCCGAAGCTCCGACAACCTCCGCTCCAGGTTGGCTATCTCGTGCTCGGGATCCATGTCCTCCTCCATCTCTCCCACCTGTGATCCGCTGGCCGAAGGTGCTGGCCTCCGTAGGTTCCGGGGTGGTGTCAACGGGTAGTGCGGGATCTCGCTGAGGTTCAAGGGGCCGGCTCTGGCCTTCGGGCTGGTCCCCAGGTACCCGCGAAAGGGCGGCACCAGGCTCCACGCCGACGAGTTCTCCTCCTCGGGCACGTAGGGAATCTTCGCATTGGTCTCGGGGTCGATGTAGGGCTCCGGAGTCCTCGTCTTGCTCAACGTCTTCTTCTCCTCCTTCTCGCACCAGGTGGCATACATCTTCAGGTCCTCGCTGGCGTTCTCGTTGCTGTGCATCTCCTTGATGGCCCAAGCCCGGTACCCATGTGGAGTGTGGGAGAACATCATGCCCTGGTAGCGACCGAAGTTCATGAGAGTCTGAGGCCCCATCCCCCCGTTGTCTCGCAGTAGCCTCATGAGGATCTCTCTGTTGTACTTCGAGGGAAGTTCGATCCCCGCTGCGCCAACCGCCGCCTCCAGCTCCTCGAGGTTCATCTTGTTCAAGTGAGGCATCGGTGTCTCGGAGTCCCCTTCCTTCGCAAGGTCCTCCTGGATGACTGAGCGGATCTCGGTGACGGTCCACCGGGGGTGGATAGTCAATCTCCGGGCCTCCGCCTCGCGCAACAGCTCGTCCCGGGTGAGCTCCCATAGTCCCTTCTGTCTGGTCACCACTGGCGCTGTCAAAAGGGCTGCTTTCGGTGCCATGGACCGCAGGAGCAACGAATTGGATTACAGGGTTGTCGCAGGATCTGCTAAACACTGTTCTGCCGATCCACAAAAGCGGAAAAGACGACTTGCTCTCCGGTCTTCTCCACTCATCATGTACTGGCGGAAAATCTCGTTGGGTCTTGCATGAAATGCCCTCGGTGGTCCTAAGGCTCCCAAGTGCTTCTAGAAGAGATACCTTCTGGTCTTGATGCTCCGTGTTCCAGCTGCTTGGATTGAAAAAGGATCTCCTAGGCACCACATGAACCCGCACAAGGACGTGAGTATCCTCAATCCAGAAATCGTTGCTAACTGAGGATTGATGCCACCATACTGCGAAGGACTTGGGGTTGAGCTTATCCGCCAGGAGCATGTTTCGGGCTGCTTCTCCAATCTTCTTGGGGTAGAACACTTTCGTGGGTTTCATTTCAGGGCTGCTCATACCAATTTGGGCTCGTTCTTCTCCAAGACGTGGACTGTCTTCATGAGGAGGGTGTGCTTCTGCTGTAGACTGTCGACTACCTTGTCGAGGTCCAGGGCCTTCTAGTAGTGCTTGAGGTACAGGAGGACCAACTGCTTCGGGATGCTGACGTAGTGATATCTCTCTAGAGGCCCCGGGCGCCCGTGGTAGAGGAAGGGGTGGAACTGACTCTCCGGAACTCAACTCCTCCACATCGAAGACCATCATGCTAGACCACACCGAAGACCCTTCCCCTTGCCCCTGAAGTCCCACCATGTATTGCACTGCGCGCGGGAGGATGCGGATCTCCTCATCGGACCAGCCTTTGGCCCCCGCTAGCGTGTGATTGGCCTGTACAGGACGAACAGGGAGAGCAGGATGTCCCGTCTCCGTGGTCAAAAGAGGAAAGTCCGCGACTTGAAGGGCACGGAAGGTTGCGGTGTTCCGCTCAACATCGAGCACCATTCCAAGATGTCCCAGCGCCGGCCTCGAAACCAGAAGGGGGACGTCTCCCTTGACCACAGCAACCTTTAACCAAATTTCGAAGTTGCCCAAGGCGAAGCCGATCAGCATGGCGTACGAAGCCTCGAACACACGGGAGGCGCCAAACTTGAAAGACTCCTTGCACTCCAGGATGATCGGCCGGTACCCCGCCTGCTCAGCTGCTGTGATGTAGTGCTCGATCCAAGGGAGGCCAGCAACCGACTTCGAGCAAGCTGTGTCTGTGATCGCTGCCAAGGTGGAGGGCCCTTTGTCGTTCTCAAGGTCCCAAGTCACATGGACGACGTGGCACGCGTAGCTCGACCTTGGCCCAGCGCCTTTGCCGCCAGGTGGAGTCCCAGAAGTTGTAGCCCCTGTAGACGAGCTTGCCGCATTGCCTCCATCCTTTCCCTTATTCAAGGGGCAGCAGGCATCTTTATGCCAGTGGCCTCGGCGATGGCACCCAGCGCAGAAACTTTTGCTTTTGGCAGCACTCAGCTTCTGGGCTGCCAACTCCCGCATCGTTTCGGGATCACTGCCCCGAAGTTGGAGGCTTGCCTTGTACTTGTTCTTCGCAGACTCATGAGTGATGTACGCCTCATAGTACTCGGCTGCCACCGCCTCTGGCACGGCCTGGTCGCCATCATCTCCTGGGCTGTCGTCCGCGTCCTCCATCGTCTCCGGAGCATCCGCCATGTTCGCCGACTGGATTTTCTTGGGCCACCATTCACGCTTGTTGTTCCTGTCTCCACGACCTTGGCCCTCCCATGGCTTCCTGAGGGCTCTGTCCTGAACGATCGCCGCCTGCTGCAAGGCCTTCAAGTTGTACTGGTTGCCCACCGAAGCGAGGAGGTTGAGCTCGGCCCCTTCCTCCAGCTCCATCCGATCCACGAAGACCCAAGCCGCTGCCAAGTCCGGGAGCACGCACCCACATTCATTGAGTCGAGCCAAGGCGCGGTCGAAGTCGCTCATGTAGTCCCGAATGGACTGCCCCCCACGCCTTTTGAGGCGACGGAAGAAGTCGCTCAAGCTCCTCCCCACCTGCGTCACCTGGACATCTAAGTATCTGTCTTTGACCCAAGAGATGTAGTACTCGATTCCGTCATCGCTGGCCAACCTGTCCATGTCCAGACGCTCTGCATCCGCCCAAGCTTTTCCGGTCAGGGCCTGGTCGGCCTGGTAGAGCGTCAACGCCTGTTGGCTCTTCCCCAGGCGCGTCATCCTCCTCCACGCAGCAACCTGGCGTAAGTACGAACATGCCGTGGCCCCCAAGTCCTCGCCCGAGCCCGGTTCCAACGAACCGGAGAAAGAGGGAACCACCATCTTCTCGGAAGGCCCACGGCCGAGATCACCACGTGGAGCTCCCGTTTCGGAGCCGAGCTTCTGTGGCTGCCATCCTTCAGGTACTGCTCGTCGTACATCTCGATCGCCGCCATCATCCACAGAGCCTGATCCCAGGGAGGCCGTAGTTCCCCAGGTCTCGCCCTTGCTCACTTGTCGTTCTTGACCGTCGTAGCCTCGACCCCAGTCGCGGGCTACCCACTGGCCGCTGCCCCAGGAGTGCCCCCACCAGGATCGATCCTGGCTCCCACTCCATATCCACTGTCTCCGTTCTGAATCCACCTCCGCCTGATCGTGCCCTCCAGCATTCACATCTCCTCTCCGCCATGCCGTTCACCGAGCGGAGGATCGGGTAGTGGGGAACTGCGAGGTAACTTGCCGAAGGACTCATAGAAAGACTCGCCCGCACCGCCAGGTACTGCCGACATTGCCGGAAACTACGACCCTGGAGCAACCGAAGCTCCGCTACCAATTTAGAACTAAGAAGGCCCACCGGGCTGGTCTCGTGGCCACACTCCGTTTTCCGCATCGGAGCCGAACTCATGTGCCTCCGGAACAAAAGGTTTGAATCGTTGGGATCAACCGAAGCTTACTTCCACAGCTTTACACTAAACCCTAAAGTTTGGGAATTAGGGTTTGAACCCTGGACGCCGGAGACTAGAAATTTGACACACCCCTTGCACTGACCTCCGGACCCTTGAGACCCCATGGCCGAAAAAACTGCGCAAAACAAGTCTCTTTTAAGGGAATAGGATCAAACTTTGGGATGTTGGGTTTAGGGTTTAGGGTTTAGGGCTTAGGGTGCTGTTCCCCTTACACGGACAGTCCTTAATTAATGGGGATTATGATAGGGGGGGGGGGGGGGGGGGGGGGGTACTAGAATCCCTTTTAAGGACTGTGTGTATAAGCGGGGAACATCCCACAAATAGGATATAGACATGCATATTACACATACCTATGATTTGTTCTTTCATGTATGTATGTTTACATGCATGTACTTGTTCTTATTTAAGGCTGTCATGAGAAGGACAACACAAACCCTAAACCCTAAACCCGAAGCCCTAAACCCAAAACCCAAAACCCTCAACCCTAAACCCTAAACTCTAAACCCTAAACGAACCACCCTCCCTTAAGAACGCAAGCCACAGGATGGGTCCTCCGGCCCACAATGTAACTTTGGAGCCCTTGAGGATCTTCTCGGTGTAGACGCCTGCTTCTCGAGGGTTTAGGGTTTCTAGGGTTGAGGGTTGAGGGTTTAGGGTGTGTGTGAGTGTGGTGTAGGGTTTAGGGTTTCGGATTTAGGGTGTACTCTCTGTAGGGTGTAGGGTTTTGGGCTTAGGGTCTAGGGTTTAGGGTTCTGCATATGAAGGGGGGGGGGGTACTTCTCCCATCATAAGGGTCATACTTTTTCGAGGGTGTATCAAGGGGAACCCCTATTTAGGGTTTAGGGTTTAGGGTTTAGGGCTACACCTAGACCCTAAACGCGAAGCCGGTGTGATGAAGTGCGTGTGTGCCTGCCAGGCCCGAGATGGCGGCTGAGAGCACGGTGGTGAGAAGCCCTGGCGGGAAGTCTCCCCCCCCCCCAAACCCCAAACCCCAAACCCCAAACCCCAAACCCCAAACCCCAAACCCCAAACCCCAAACCCCAAACCCCAAACCCTAAACCCTAAACCGCGCAGGGTGACGGGTTCAGGATTTCGGGATGGGGGCTGGCAGAAGCCTCAATCTGAAACAGCCCTTCTGGGGTGGGGTCTGGGTGCCCCTAAAACCTGAGGCTATACTCCCCTTAGAACCTTAATAAATATATTATTCTTCATATCCTCTTGGGTTTCACATAAACAAAAATGTAAAAACAAAAAAACAGGGGGCTCAGAGGAGGTCTATGGGTTAAGTACGGCTATGTAGGGTTAGGGCCTAGGGAACTGTGAATCATGCCTTCCTAGCATCAATGCCCTGACACACCAAGCCCTACATCCCTGAACTCCTCCAACCTTTGAGCAAAAAATGCAGCCTCCCAACTTTAATTCAACCGCGGCATTCCTTCTCCCCACAACCCTGCTGTAAAAAAAAACCGTGATAAGGCTTGTAGCCTGCCTCAGGAAGGATCGCATCTCGTACGAGTCAGAACCTAAACCCTAAACCCTAAACCCTTAACCCTAAACCCTTAACCCTAAACCCTGCAAAAAGTGTGAAGCTTGGGGGGGCTCCGATAGGCGACGCCTGTAACTTGGCCACCCCAGCCGGCTTTCGCACCTCGGAGTGCAGAGGGTTTAGGGTTTAGGGCTCAGGGTTCAGGCTCAGGGTTTAGGGTGCGGAGCTGCAATTGGTATTGTAGAAAGGAGTTGGTATTGGAAGTTGAAGGGTCAATGAACCCGGTAATCTTTGGCTCAAGCCATGACCAAAGCGGTCAAAGGTTTCGTAAAAAGTGTGCCCTTGGTTTGGGGTCTTGTTGTTCGGTTGTTGGTTGTTCCAGGGGTATTAAGGGCTTCTGTTGGGGTTGACTGTTTTGTTCCCTGTCCTCCTTCGGTTGCCCTCCGTAGGTTATGAGCCCAAGTTAGGCTTCCTGCGGAATTGGTAAAGATTTTTCGTTTGTTTAACGCCATGGACATGATGCGGCGTCGCTCTGAGCCTGGACTGTCGCCAACGGCCAATGAAGCCGAAGGAAATCGTGGTGATGGGGGTGAAGATCGACAACAAATGGTACAAGCACTGACAGATGGTAGGGAGGTTGCAATGATACAACCAACGCCTCAGGTGGAAAACGAAGTGGTTCCGGTTCAAGCAGCAAATCCTTTCTGGAGCGAGCGGGCTCAAGAAGAAATGAGACTTAGGCAATCAAGGCCGGCAAGTCTTCCCGCGAGCGGAGGGGATAGGAGTGGTGAAGGTACGAGGAGACCGCCTTCGCTGCAAGATCTTTTGGGTCAGGAACCTGCACCTGTTGAGAGACCATCGTCAGGCTTAATGGGACAAATGGAACGAGGTACTATTGGTGGAGTGCAAGCCGACGAAGAACTCATTCCTGATGTTAGTGGTGAAGAGCAAACTGAAGATATGGCGGTGGTGAAGCGTGCGCTGAAAGAGTTGCTTGTGCAGACAAAGGAGCTGGGGAACAGGTTGCATCGGGTGGAGGAGAAAAGCTATACCTCTGCTGCATCTGGGTCAGCTTCAAGGGCACGGAGCTCTGGAGTGGTGGACGCAAACACGGCATATCCTCTAGGAATGACTCCAGAGAAGCAGTGCCTGCCAGGACAAGTTTTCTACACGGATGGTATGGGTGGTTTTTGGACTGTGTTGCCTGATGGGACATGGCTGCCTATTGAGGGCTACGACCTGCCAAAGGGTTGTGATCTTCAATCCTTGCCTGGGTCCAGGGGGGGATGTTCAAGTGGAGGATGAAAAAGAAGTGCCAATGATGCATGTAGCTGAAGGGAAGAAACCCTCCAGATTGCCTCCATTGAATTACCCCACGGGAGGCCCTGCAAGTGGTGGATATGCAAGTGGACCACCTGGTTTAACACATGTTCCGATTACTTCCGTGCCGTCAGGTGTTGATGGTTCTGCCGCACCTGTGGGGAACCAGCCCGGTTTTGTTTCAGCTCGGGAAACTGCAACGCAAGAGAATTCAGCAGGATCGGGCGGATATACAATGGTGGATGATGTTCCGTATCGGTGGAAAATGGTCGCTGGGAAGTTGGAATTAGAAAAGGTTCCGCTCACAGCTGTTACGCCTGGTATAGGACATGGACTACCTCAAGGGCCTGGTGGAAGGGTCAGCTTACCTCCTGGAGCAGTGGTGCCACGCGGTATGCCAATCACTGGTGATAGTTCTGGAACCGAACGTCCGGAGGCTCTCGGGAAGCATGTGATGAGCCTTCCAACTTTGGCAGACTACACACCAAGCAATCCGACGGCACTGGGTGATTGGATCGCAATGATCGAACCAATGTTGTCTTCGCTGACAGATACAGGAAGAGTGTGGTGGCAATGCGTCTACTCAAAGGCATATCAAGCGTATGCCAAATGGTTGAGTGTTTCTCCGCTGGAAAGGTTGGGCATCAAGGCTGAGCTAGAAGGGCTCAAAGTGGTTCAAACTGCGCATGTTTTGTTGGAGCAGAGAGCGGTGTCTTTGCTGCTACAGGCGATCCCGGAGAGATTGAAGACCGAGATCGTTTCCACTCGAATGTTGGGGTCGGTGATGATATTTTACAAATTGCTGACGGTCTACCAACCAGGTGGAGCAAATGAGCGCAGCACAATGTTGAACTTCTTGGTGCAACCATCTTCAGCAACCTCGATCTCAGAGGCTATTAAGGGAGTGCGACAATGGGCGCAATGGCGTTCCCGATTAAGGGAGCTGCGAGCATCCGAGCCGGACGCTACCTTGCTTATCAAGGGATTGGATGCTTTATCATCCGCGTTGCTGGCAAAACACCCTACGGTGCATTTCAGAGTGGCATCCTTTCGGGAGAAATTGGGGGTGGACTACTCGCCGACCTCTGAAACTGCGACACAACTAGCTGAAATGTTACAGGCAGAGTTTGAACTGCTATTGCATAGTGCTGGTGAACAAGAGGTGAAGCAGGACTCGGACGCCAAGAAAAGGGCCAGGTTAAACAAGGCCCAAAAGGGAACTGGTGACGAGACAGAGGAGGGTGACAAAGGCAAAGGGAAAGGAAAAAGGTACAGCGGAGATGGTGAACGTCCTTTCTGTTGGATATATGGGAAGACCGATGCAGGTTGCAAGTTCGGATCCCGCTGCAAATTTCGCCATGACAAAGACTCCCTTGAGCGAGGAAGATGTTTTGAGTGTGGGGCCGTTGGCCATCTGCAGCCGCAATGTCCATATAAGGATGGTGCAAGTTCCAATGTGGACTCAAATCCTGAGAGGAGTAGATCTAAAGGGAATTCTCCCAAAGGGGGAAAGGGCGGCAAAGGTGCGAAATGGGGAAATGCCAAAAAGGCAGAGGTAGCTGAAGGGGGAGATGAGACGGCTAATGCGGGATTGGATAAAGGTTCTGCAAGTCCCTCGTCACCATCAACACCCAATCAAGTCCTTGCTGAAGCGTTGGAAGTGCTGAAATCTATGAAGCTGTCATCAGCGCAGTCAGCATCGAGCGGGGATCCCAGTGTTCGAATGTTATGTGGATCTGGATTGTTTCAGCAGGAAGGGAGAGTGGCGTTGGTGGATACAGCTGCTACGCATCTTGTGCGGACGCTTTTTCCATGGGAATGTTTACCCGACACTACTGTTATGGTGCAAAGCGCGCTTGGTGGTGTGACAATGAGGATTACAGAGAAAGGGACGTTGATTAGGGAAGACAATGGGCCCCTGATTATCCCTCTCTGGTTGATTTTGGAGTTTGGGGCGAACCTCACTGTGATCAATGGGATGTGTCACGTGGGTGCAAAATCTTCGCTGGACCAGCTC